ACTGGTAGAAGAACTATTTCAATATTAGATAATATTCGGGAGGAGTTAATCTATTCTCAACAATAACAATTCACAGTAAGGAAATTTAAAGCAATTCAATATAAAAATTGCATCTGTTAAAAACAATTGGTAGTTATGGATTTTTATTATTCCCGGAAAAAAACTAAAAAATGAAATTTATTGTTACCAGTTTTTACTCCGGTGCGCTGCCAAGATGAGAAAATCTAGCATGACCCACCGGTGGGTCACCCTGGCGTGAACGTGTTAAAGTCGCAGATTGCTCGAATTATTGCATTTGTAATATTTTTAAATAAAGAGATAAAATAATAGTAATAAGTGATAATTAACAGAGCCACGGAAAGAGAGAGGGATCCTTTATAAAGATTCTCTTCAATAGTGGAGCAAGCACTCCTTCAGCTAAATTTTGCAACCAATTATAGGGCACCAAAAATAAGATAAGATGATTATACAACACAATAATTTTATACCGACTTTCAAAAGCCGATCCAAATCTGAAATTAAGACTATCAATATTCGACACCGTAACCCAATTCAGAAGACAAGGAATTCTTGGATCAGGAATCGGGAGAAATTTTTCTTTGTGGAGGACTTTTTAAGGAAACTAGCCCGCATTTGCTTTGCATGGAGGGAAAAAACCACAAAAACCTCTCATGGTTAGCCTAACGGCAAGGGGACTCCAACTCAGACCCATGATTTGTCTATCACTGAGAATATTGCTGTCCTGAATTAGACTTTGAGGCTCAGTTCCTCAAAATAAACTAAAGTGGATTTTTCCTTTAATAAATTACATTAATTTTAAATATGCCCTTTAAACCAGTAAGAATTGCATTTTACACAAAGCTGTCAAATATCCCGGTTTTCCGTGAAGGTTTTATTTATATTTAAAATGGTAATAAAATTCAATATTTTTTTTCCAATCCCCATCCGTGCATTGTGAGATTTGTCATTAGGGTATCAGAAGGGCAGATGTGTTGGCCAATCCTTCAAGGGGAGCGAACGCTTCTCCAACATTAAAAAGAAAAGAACGTGCATGCATCAGCCCGAGATTCTAACCCGGGACCTCTCTGACATGATCCCAGCTCCCTGACCACTATAGAGCCTAGGGTGAACGTCTATATGCATCAAGACTGATAAAAGCAAAAGATGGTACGAACGACCAGTTTAGCTTGTTTTCAGGAAGAATCATATATCCATGACTACTACCAAGATTGTTTAACTATTATATAGCGTATATGGGACTACTTGACTACTTCTTACCGGATAAAAAGTAAATAGCAATGAGTAGTTTATAGTTGAAAATAAATTAACTTCTTCAGAAAGCAGCTACAAATAAAATGATTTTACAACAGTTTTCTCTCTTTTCTGTCTTGTTTTCAGGCCTGATACAGGCCGGTCGGCTAGTTATGATAGATTATTTTTAATTTAACAAATATTGACTGAAAATGATTTTTACCACCAATAAATATAAATGACCACCATAATTTACCACCAGGCCGTGGTGGGTCAGGGGATACTTAAGAGAAGACATAAACCTCAGACCGATGGCAGCTCATTTTTGTAGTGACGTAATCTTAACTAAAATGCAAAATATTTAATTTCCTTTTATTCCAATTGCATTCCAATTACCAGAAAGAACCACCTTAAAGACCGCAATACAAGACGAATGGGAAAAAAGCCGCTAACGGCACCAGGAGCTCAGATATATTTCGATGATGATGATGGGTCAGGGGATAGAGCGTTCACCTATCCCAATGACCCGGATTCAAATCCAAGCGGTAATTGGTTGATACGAATTCTGCTGCCGGTTCGCACCAAACACAGTGCTGAAGTAAAATATCCTCAGTGGTAGATGGATCATGGGTAGGTTGGAATCCCCTTGCCATCAGGGTAGCCGTGAGAGGCTTTTGTGGTTTTCTTCTTCATGTAATGCAAATGCGGGTTACTTCCATCAAGAAAACCTTCACGAAAACTAGCTTATTCCAATTCTTGATCCAGGAGTTTCCTAGTCTTCTTGGTTAAATTCAAAATTACATTTCTACGGAATTGAAATTGATAATTGCAAACTCAGAATTGGATCAGCTGTTAAACGCTGGTTATTAAATATAAAAAATACTTTACCAACATGAAAGGTTATATTTTATTGCCTATATTTTAACCCCTTGGGGACGGGTGATTCAGAAAAGCATTCGTACAAAATCAGAATCAGGATGTAATTAAATAAAAAAAGGTAACTTAAATGTAGTCGTTACTAATTTGACAGACTTACTTTGCTTTTACTTTAATTATTGTTAGTTTAATCATATATAATCAATGTTAGTTCAAAGTACATATAACTAAATAGTTTTATTTTGAACAAAGTAATGGTGAATTAAATAAATCAAACAATTATAACTCCGCCCACAAATAAACTGCTAAAGAATTACTTTGATTACCAGTTTTATCTTTTCGCCCCAGTTGATACGGTTTTATGTTGGCACGTATTAGTGACAGTCGGCGGGAAAGGGTTAAATGACTCACAAAAAGGAACATGTTGATGTCACTGTTATTAATTTTATTGTTGTTCTGCTCGCTACATTCGCCAGAGAATACGAGTATCGGTAACAGTATGGGAAAATCTGATCATAAGAGAAAAAGTTTGTCAGAGAGTATCGTTTTTTTTTCTTCTTCTAAAAGTTTTTTTCATGCTATTAATTTAGTAGATTCTAACAGCACAACTAGATTATAAGTTCAACTTGACGCATAATTCATGTACTTTAAAAATATCGTTTTGCTGAAATTTCATGATATTGAATATCAAATTAAAAATTACTCAAGAATTTTAAGTTCCTTCTTTCTATATCTAAATGAAAATAGTGATAGTATTTTTTATACCAATAGGGTACTTTATTACCTATTACTTTAGTTTTAGAAAAGCATTACTCTTGACTTCAGATTCTTAAATAAATATTTTTATTATTAATATAAATTAATCCTAATAATAAAACACTTGTGTTTTCCTTTTTATACGTCCTTTTTAAAAGGCATAAATGGGTTCAAACAAATTAATTTAATTATTCATTTATATGTTATTGTCTTTCTACTCCAAATAATAAAGGGAGTAACTCAATTTGTCATGCTAGTACTGTCACCTCTTTGACATTCCATTTAACTGTCAACAAAATTATATATTATATAAATTATCTACCATTTTTATTATGGAATTTCTTTCACTGTGATAATGAACTGTGTTTTTTACGTAATGTGGCTTTTCTTTCTAGAATTTATACAGTATATTTAGAAAAGCATGGATCAAAGAGTTTTAGTTACTCGTCTTTTTTATATAATACTTGATGTTTCAACCTTTTGTGTCATGTCATTTAACCTTTATGACTCCAACCGTCAGTAATACTGCCAAGTCAACTGTTCAAAATTTACCACGTATCGTAAAAAGATTTTTAAAAAAAACTTATAGAATGACTTAACTTAAAGTAAGATACATGTGACTACCACTGTTTTTCCCACTGTTACAAAACCTGTAACTGTTTGTGAAACTTTTTATGAGCACCAACCTTTTACCTGCAGGATTTTGCCCTTACGGAAAAAGTGTCTTGTTGAAAAGCGTGGCAGCAAGTTTGCATTTGAATTAAATGGAAATTTTCTTCATTCAGGCAACTAATTTTGTCAAAAAATGCAACAACTGCTTGATATACATTACAAGATATATAATTTTACTTAATTAATAGATTTTGGCTGATTGGAATATTCTATTCTTCCAACTGCAAGTTTTAAAAATGAAAGATTTGAGTTACCAACGTTTTGAAAACGAGACATGTTCCAAAAATGAGACGTTGGCATTTAAGCGGTTAATGTTAAGAAGAGTATACTCAAAGAAAAAAATTCAAAGTTCAGAAAAAATCTTCGATTACCAGTTTTTAATCTTTTAGAGTTGTTTAAAAATCAGTTCATAAAATTTTTTGTGGAATCAAAATTTATTCTTTGTACTTCGATGTCCCCTCTAAGGCGCCATTAACAATCACCACTCTAATGTTAAATTTTTTTATACCTTCATAATTAGTTACCACATTATTTTAAGATTTTAAAAAATTATATAAATATTGTATTTTGTTTATTAAGTGAATTAATGCTTATACATTAGTTCTTATAGCATTTTAAGGATTAAAAACTACGGAATTTCATTAGTATAAGCTGACAACTTCTTCAGAAATCTAAGAAATTGTAGTAAAATTTCTATTAGTACATTCGATAACTCACCTCTTTGCTTTTAAATCATTTAAAAGAAATGATTCCTCTTCACAGAATATTAAATTGAAAAGGAAAGCAGTGAGTTTTCAATTAGCCGTATAGAAATTAAACTGCCATGTTTCTAAGTTTTTTGAGGTTGTAGGTTAGCTTACCGTAATAAGAACTGAAGATTTTTCGTACTGATTTCTAAGGTTTTAATTCATATTTTATAACTAACTAGAAATTATTTCAAAAGGATTGTCGATACCTCTGGTTTTTAAATTTTTTTTTTAAAAAAAGGTTAAGCATATTAACTTAATTGTTTTATTCTTTGCCTTTTTTTTTGTTTTGGAGGAAAAAAAGACAAGCAAGTACTACAACATAATCAGGGAAGTTGGCTACACTGACAAGCATAAAGAGTGGTAACTATTTCATGATGACATGTTCAAGAAAATGAAATTTTAGTAAATGGGTTAATTTTGAAAATACAGACATTTGAACTTACAGCTACATATGCCTGAAGTATTTTAAATCCGCGTCGATAGTTTTGAATCACGTATGTTATTTAACTTAAAAAGAAGAAAACACTTAAGTATTTTTACTACAACTAGTTACGTCTCTGAACGTAGCTTGCAACACTGCATAATGCTTTAGCTGTATCATTAAATACAATGCTGGTATTTCGTACATTGACAGCTACATATATGTATAGCCAAAATCAATTAGTAACATCATTTCTTTTTCTCTATTTAAATTAGGTGTGTGCATGTGACCGACATAGGAGTTGGTTATCTTTCAACAATGGTTAATCTCCGCATACTTTACCTACGGTGGTGTACGCAAATTAGAGACTTTGGACTTCAACATCTATGCACAATGAGAAGTTTGCAAATACTTTCACTTGCAGGTAATATTCCTTATAGTACTTGAAAAGAATATTTCTTAATAAATTTGATTCTTTTTTTTACAAATTATGATGATTCTAGTTAAAATCTCTATTGGTAAAGACAATCATTGAATTTAAAGCCTTCATAAATATATTAACAATTACACAAAAAACTTTACCTAAGCCTTTATTGTATACATTTACATTTATATGCATTTAGTATATACATTTACATACATTTTAGACCACGAGGATTTGAATTGCATAAAAATTGTTACTTAAGGGAAAACTGACGCTGTATTATATAGGCCTACACCAAACTCAGGAAAATAAAGGGTTTAGAAGAATTTTTCCTTGCTGCTTTTGGCGAGTAATCCCCCCAAGTCATATTCATCATTAAAACAGTGGATATGATTTTGTAGTGTTAGAATTGGTGGGATACAACTTTGTTCGTTAATTTGTTTGAGCTTTTTTCACAATTGATCTGGTTTGTTTCTTTCAATTGATTGGTTTAATTTTTATTCGACATCAACGTTCGGTTACATGGAACCCATCAAAGTAGACGACTTTTAGTAGACTAAGTAGACGACTTTAGTAGATGAAAGTGAAATTAAGATTTAGTGTGGCAAAACTGTCAGCATAATTGAAAAGATCACGCTTGAAGCAATGTCACTTTTACCAATGTAAAGTTCGGATTGATCAAAATAAGAAAATGAATAAATAATTTTTTTCCGGTTTCAACACCAGCAATTTTGAAGTCACTCATGAGGATTTCAATATTTATTAGCATGCTTCTTTAACTATAGAGGTATTGAAAAAGGGAAAAAAACGCTTCTTACTCTCATTTTGGTTGATGCGAATTTTGCCTGAATAAAAGGACCCCACTTCTAAAAGCTTCAAGTATAATCTTTAAAATTGTAACAGTTTTGACATGTAAAATATTTACTTCTAAAAGAAAAATTGTTTCTATTGAGTTAATATTAAAGTGTTTAAATATTTGTATCCAACCCCTTTATATGCAATCAGAAAATGAATATTTCACTCATAAGACTTGAAGCAAGTAATTATCCATTAAATTATTAAGAAATTTAATACCTAATTTTTCTTTTGAGACTTGTGGCTTGTTTTAAATTGCAATAAGACCTTCAATTATCAATTCAGTTTTAAAAAGACGCTTGTAGAAACATAATCCGCATCTTTAACAATTCTGTGTGCAACATTTAATCAGTTTTTATCAAAGAGTGCATCAAAGCTTGAAATATTTTATCAAAATATTTTTCTGAAATATTTAAGAGGTATTACAGTTCAAAAATATTCGATATGGCAAAGAACAGACTTTCATTTATTGTGATAAGTATTCACAGCTGGTAATTCGTGACTGAGATCTTTAGAAAATCTCTTATAATTCCTTAACCATCCTCTTACTATTTTCAAGGAGACAGGAAAAGAAAAAAAAAACTGTCTGCTGTCCCAGTTTCGAAATAAATCAGACACGACTTTTCATAATATTTGCACTCCGATGAGTGGCCCACAAGACATATTTATTGAATTTTAATGAAAAGATGATACCATATAGTTGCAAAAAACTGATTTTCTATAATCTCCCTATAATTGATTTTATACGAGATAGATTAAATCAGACCTGCCAACTTTTACTCCATCCGAGAAAGTATTTCCCAAGTGGTAATGAATGACTAATTGAAGTGCTATTATAGATAAAATAAAACTTTTTACAATCGCTATAACTTACACTCATTTTCGTTTCTATAATTTGCTCATAAGTATAAGATTGATTTATTTGCATTTAGTGGTTGTTTGTTGTTAAAATCTTAATAAATTAAGTTTATAAGTACTGGAATTAAGAAGAATGATATAGATTCTGACTTGCTGTGGACTGCGGATAATTATTTTCTAGTGTTAGTGTTTTAATGAATGATTCTTGGATAATAAATTTGATTTATAAGGTTTTTACTCACCTCGATTTCTAAATGATTCGTAGGCTTACGTGATGCGCCGCTTTGTTACAGCTATCCCAAAATAAATTACTAAGAAAAATCTGTAAAAAATATATAAAACATACAAAATTGCTCAGTCGAACATTTAATATAAACATTTAAATATACAAATGAATAATAAATATAAAAGTGGAGTGTAAAAGTCTTTAAATATAAAAATGAAATATTGCGGACAATCCGTAGTATTTGCAGAATTGATTTAATTGACATAAATCACATTTTTAACTGCAGTTGTAGTTTCTAAAACTCGGCCACAATTATTTCAATGATATTAAAAACATGTTAACGAAAACTTACTTATTTAAACCTTATAAAACTTACTTATTTATAATTTCTCCTGTTACGCTCCACTATTGCCTTGAAAATGTCTTATAATTAGACTTTAGATCTAAATGGTTATATTTATATGAATAATATGTTATATATGTTCAACCATGCTGTTTCTGCAAAACATAAATAAATGTGCTAAGAATGAAACATAGTTTTTGTTAAACCATTTTGCTTTTTTGAAAAAGGGTCGTGTCCTATAAAAGGATATTAGACACATAATATATTTGTGTGGATTTACGAAAAAATTAGCACATACATTGTCATGCTAGTATAGATTTCGTATTTTTTTTTAATAGCATTTAGTTTTTAAATTTAACATTCATATTCAATCAATCCCAATCGCTTTCTTCATAAATTGAACGATAAATTTTGATTTAATTTCACAAGGTAGAAAAAGTAAAGCACTCCTGCAGTAGCTCGTTGCGGACCAGGGGGGTAATAGGGGTTAATGCATCATAATTTCCAGACAAACGGCATGACTGCGAAAATGTGGTAAGCATTGTGTACCAGTCGGCTTTTCTTCCCACACAAGCTGGTACCCATTGATCTGAATTCGATTAATTTTTTCTGATCTATTTGAATTCGATTAACCCCTTGAGGACGGGTGATTCAGAAAAGCATTCGTACAAAATCAGAATCAGGATGTAATTAAATAAAAAACGGTAACTCAAATGTAGTCGTTTCTAATTTGACAGACTTACTTTGCTTTTACTTTAATTATTGTTAGTTTAATCACACATATAATCAATGTTAATTCAAGGTATAACTAAATAGTTTTATTTTGAACAAAGTAATGGTGAATTAAATAAATCAAACAATTATAACTCCGCCCATAAATAAATTGCTAAAGAATTACTTTGATTACCAGTTTTATCTTTTTGCCCTGATCGATACAGTTTTATACTGGCACGTATTTGTGACAGTCGGCGCGAAAGGGTTAAACATCCGTTTTTGTTCAGTAGTAGTAAATTAAAGCAGAATTTTTTTAAACAAACAAATATTTTTTAATAAAATTATTAGAACCTAAGAACATAAGGTATGTCTATATGATTTTATATGTATCTGTTTAAATTACTTGCGTTTAGTTGTAAACAAAATTCTTTTAATTCTAATTTATTAGAATATAAACACATTACCCAGACTACCATTTGGAAAAATTTCTGTCTGAAACTATTTTAATAATTTTATTTATTTATTTTTAAAGTTTTAAGGGTCTCGGAACAATACGGAAAATCTTTAGTAGCTGGAGTCTCGATCAAGATGATTAATTTTCAAATGATTCGCTGAGGTAACGTAAATATTAATAATTTCCTTTCACAATAAATGTAATGGCTAACCTTTTATTTCAATATAATCGTGTAAGAAATTATTATTCAAAATTAGTTAAGCGACCATCAAAACTTATTTATAATCTTTCCTTTTTAACTTGCTTTCAGATTAACTCAAAAATGCAATGTGTTATATGTTTTCTGGAATCTTTTAATCCTTTCAGATGTGGAGGGACACTAACTGTTCCCCACTTCTTTTCGACAACAATAAAAACCATTGACGTTGAAAAACAACGCGGTGTTTAATTATGCACTTTCAATTTTGCGCGAACACTAATTTTACAGAAAATAGTCTCAATATGGACGTGCATACGATGACCGTATTTCTTATGACTGTTCTTGATAAAAATTTTCGGTCCCACAAATGGTTAAAAAAGTTTACTATGATCTATAATCTTTTTTTTTTCTGGGCAGGGGGGTGAGGTCTATTTTTTGTATAAAATTTAATATTAATGTTAAATATAGTGGGATTGAGTTAACTTTTGACGATGTTCATTTTTAATAAATTGCCAATAATTTATCTCTCTCGATGTTCCAAAGCGTCAGTAGAGGCTTTTCTTCGAATTCGTTAGGGCAGCTGAAAGGCTGTATATTGACTTCCTATTAACTTGACCGTTTTTCAAAATTTTGTAAAAAAAAAAAAAAAACTGAAGCACTTAATTTTTTTAGAAATAATATTCACCAGACTGATTGATAAAGAAACTACTAGTATGTTACGCATAATTGAAAAGGGTATAGGACTGTTTCCTTGGATCATCCACCTACAATTAAAAACCAAATGGATACTTTCAATAACATTACACTTAAACCTTACAAATGTCTTGTGCTGAGACATAAAATTTAATTATAAATACAATATAGTCAGTATTATATGGTAGACAGAGCTTTCCTGTTTTTTCAAGATACACGCAAATAATAAAATATTCATGTTCCTACTTTTTTGCAAAATAGGACACGTGTTCTTAAAATCACGCTAGGCACAATTGGGGAGCAAAGATAATCCTGTGGTATGGCTCGCCAAATTATCTGCAGCGTGGAGGTAGTGGGTCGAATCCCTCCCTAACCCTAGATCAGGGGTGTCCAAACTGCAAAGAGCCCACGGGCCAGAATTCCAGTCACTGATCACCTGGCGGGCAGCAGTTTGAAAAAGTTGAGCAATAACCTCTTACCTCTTATACAATAATAATTAATAGTTGAATTATTAATTGTAAAACAATGGAACAGAAGGATTATAAAACAATTTGCTTACATTTTAATGGGAAAACAGAGACCGATCAGCCTGAATAAGTTGGCCGACCACACAATATGTGTTGGCGGGCCTCCAGTTGGACAGCCCTGCCCTAGATGT